TCATAAAATCCGTAAATTGCACTTGATCTCACAAGAGACACTGTAGGACTCCTTAGTGTTGGCTGACATGTTGGAGGTGGCGGAAAAAGACTGGAATATCACCTGTATGCTACTAAGGGGAGGGACTGATTTTTTACACACCTGTAATTGATTAATTGTTTGCCTTATAAATTGTGAATACTTCTCATTGTAACTTATACCTGCACCTTAGGAAGACCCTCTTTACTGGGTCGAAAAGCGTTGTGCTTTTTGTTGTGTTTTATTATAATACATTTATTTTCTACCTGCACCTGGTTACCTGGTTCCTGATTTACCTGATTGAGGACTGCAAACACCTCCTGGGGGACCTAAACATTGGATCCATGTACATCTGAATGACTTGTTCCACCTATATAGTTTAGAGCAAACTTATAAATGCTCATCAAATTGTGAGTTTTTCCAAGCTTCTCAATTGAATATCATATGTTTGGCATACTACCCTATGTTGGTGTTCTATTTTTACAGAACCTAGGGACGTATCACAAACTTGTGGACTTATAAGCTACCTGCGCAATCACCTACTCCTGTCTTTTCAATTACCATCTGCTGTTGAAATCCATTATCCTGTAACATCCTTTGTTGTTTTATTATGTATCCGTAACTAAGAATAAACCTGAAGAAACCGTAAGTCAGATTGCGTATTAGTACTTTTCAATAATATAGACATATATTATTGTGGCGAGCATTTGGCCCAAGACTATATATACAAAAGACGTATATATATATAGCAATCAACTGAAGACGTGAAGAAATTAAGAAGAATTAACATTAACGATCCAAACACGATTTTACATTGGCCAGCCAGACAGTTTTCTATTCAAGTTTTGTTCCCACTTCAAGGGGGAGAGAGAGAAGAATCGAGTTACAAAGCTCTTTTGGAACTGGGAAAACAAACTTGAAGAGAAAAAAAGGAATCTAGACTGTCACAAAAGAACTGTGGTTTGTAAGAAAAAGAAAATTTTCAAATCACAAAGACTGTACAAGACTATTTTCTACAACTGAGACAAAAAGCACAAGATACAACGTGAATTCTAGAAGCAAGCACGTGGCAGTGATTGGCAATCATCCAGATCCAAGTCCAGAACTGCGCAGCTGTGTGGATGAAGCAACGAAATAAACAGAAATAACTGATCTGGTAAAGAGTGACAAATCCATGTGGCAATAAATCAGGAAAGCATTCCTTCAGACAACTGGACATCGACTGTTGGAAAGAGACTTTTCATCTGATCTGTAAACTGTGATGGATGATTCTACAGAGTTCACGTGATACAGAAGATTAACAGACTTACAAAGAAATAAATGATTGACACTAACATTTATTCCTAAATATTAACGAAGAAGAAAAGAGACAATGAAAAGTTATTTAACAGTTATGAGTGTATTAATAACAAAAGAGAGTACTTATAACTATATAACACATGAAGTAAAATTATGAAAGGATAGTATTAGGAAGAGAACTATTACATTATGACCTAAACATAGGATGAGAAGTATCAGAAGTAGATAAAATATGAACTTGATAAAATAAGGATCATGATTACTTAATACTACAAAGATTGAGTGCAATACTATTTCATAGATTAACTATATTGAGTAATTTGTTTATATCGAGGTGAAGTAAAACAAACAATGGTAACAAAAGGAAGAAAACTAAGGAAGGATAATTTATATTGATGAATATTAAGTAATGGTATACATTAAGAATACCTTGGATATAAGAGTTCAGAGATCCAAGAGGAATTGAATTGAATTGAGTTTAGTACACAATTATATTTGACCTAAGTCTATAAAGGTGTGGACTATGGAGAATAGGTTTGTGGATATGACGGTATCCAATGAATACGTTGTTATAAGTTGTTTTATGATTACCCTGAGTTTGTTAGACACGGACTAGGAATAAGAGTTTCTGGGCAGTATGACCCCAAGTTTATTTTATTTTATTTTTAGTCAGTGGAAGTGTACTAAGAAATACGGATTGGTCAGAACATTAGGACAATCCTGCTTTTAAGATGTATTACATTAATAAGTCATCACAATTAAGGTCTAATGAGGAGAGTGATGATAATGAATTTAAATTATTCTTTCCAAGTTATTTTAAAGTAAACTATGTTTCTATGAAATGAAAAGTTTGTTACTACAAGGTGGAATTTTAGCCAAAATTATAATTATGTAAACAAAAACAAATCTATGGTAGAAAGATTTCTGGGTGAAGAATTTCTAGGACAATAAGTATTGTCAACACCATGAACATTATTTGAAGAATTATTGTGGCGAAACCGGCCTCGCCACGTGTCCTTGGAGGGGGCTGCTTGCCCGCCTCTTGCCTTTGGACTATGGACCAGACTTTATGTGAATGTGTTAACCCAGATAGCTATGCCATGGAGCCCATTCGTGTAGTTAAAGACTTCGGCTCCATGGCAATTGAACTGTGTGAATAGGATCTGAGCGCTATTCAGTAGTTTTGTGCGCTCAGATCCCAGCTATCTGGGGATATGTGACATGTCTGTGTTTTATGTATAAAATGTGACTTTGTGTATTTTATAATATTTTAATGCTTTGTGCTCACCATGTGCATAATGGAGTCTTGTGTCTGTCCTGGGAGATAATTGAATTACTTCTCAATTCAATCTCCAGGATAGAAGACTCTGAAACTGGTTTGGACCGGAGAGCCATGCTTCATTTAGTCACAAAGGACTTTCCCTTAACTTTTGAACCCCTGGTCTGATTTGTGCCATTTTTTAATATGTTGTTCCCCTGAATGGATTGATTATGAAAATGTATGTTTTATGTTTGTGACATGTATATTTTAGAAGTTATAAATATTGTGTAAAAACTGTATTCCTCTGCCGGTGATAATGAGATTACCCATTGTGTTCAGTAATCATATCACAGGCAGAGGGGAGGATTTTGTGTGGGAGTGTCTGGGTGTATTGTACGGATTGATTGGTTGTTTTGTAACGCCCTGTGGGCTGTACTATGTTTGTGGATTGGGAATAAAAGAGACTGTATGTGACAGTACAGGGAGTTCCTGTTTTAACCCTCAAAGTGAAGTGTCGTCTCATTATTGGGGGAAGGATTTATTGTATGCTGTTCCAGTTTGACTGCTAGGAGAGTAAACCTATTCGTATGGTTCCTATTCATATGCTTGAGAGGATTCATATGCTTCTCCGGTTCGGTGGTTGTGGTGTCTGCTGCAGTGCTTGGAGTCCTCAGGAAGCGCTAGGAGCATCCTTTAACGGAGGTACCCAGTCGGGGTGCCAGGCGATCAGTTACAATTATTATAGAACTTCATGGTTGATAACTCATCCTTTGAATGAGTCTTATAAGTAGTGTTGATATATTTCAGGTAGTTAGAGCCTACTGAATATACAAATTAAATACTATGATTGTAAAGTACTGATACAATTATCACTAGGTGGTATTAATGGTATAGGAATGTAATTCATGAATACAAATGACCTAAAGATTTCAAGGTTGCTAGAAAACATATTATTCATGGAAGTATAAGTGGACGTATATTATAGTAATACATGTATTAGTACTCAAGTAATATCAGGTATTGAGAATGAAAATACTATACTATATGTGTCTGTAGGAATATGATAGTGATACACAGTTATTATTTAGAAAGTTACGATCTTGATTTTGTTGTCTACAAAGACATGACTGTGGCTGAGCAGGTAGATCTTTCTAATTGCCTCTTTGTTTATTGGATCAACATTTGTAAATATTTTATTAATTTATTATTGTTATATGTATATATTATGTTCAAGTAGTTATGATGTAACATGGATATGGATATCAATACATAGCTGAAACAGAGGGAGTTTAAAGTAAAGTAAGCAGTATGAGGGATAGAAACTCGACCTTCTAAGAACTCTCATATAATAGAAAGTTGTGACTACATCTTGTTCTGTGCTCAATGAATGTGATACAAGTGATGTATGAATGAACAGGTTAGTGACATTGTGTTATGGTTATAAAACAAACCATAAACAGAGGGAATGTAGAATATTGCATATTCTATGTTTCTATTGATTATATATGGATGTGTGGATTGACATAAGTAACAGATGGTATAAGTCACAAGGCTTTCTTTGTCCGAGAGCTCTGGAATGTAGATTTGGGGGTCTTGTCCTTATATGGCTAGAGTTAAACTTGGACGTTAGGATGAGCACATCTATATAGTAACAGAGGGGCTCTTGGCTCTGGGCTCTCTCTCTCTTGGCTCTTGGCTCTGTACAATGATGTAACTCTCCCATCAGAAGTACAGCAATTACCATCTGCTGTTAAAATCCATTATCCTGTAACATCCTTTGTTGTTTTATTATGTATCCGTAACTAAGAATAAACCTGAAGAAACCGTAAGTCAGATTGCGTATTAGTACTTTTCAATAATATAGACATATATTATTTTGGCGAGCATTTGGCCCAAGACTATATATACAAAAGACGTATATATATAGCAATCAACTGAAGACGAGAAGAAATTAAGAAAAATTAACATTAACGATCCAAACAAGATTTTACAAAGTATATAACAAACTCCTAGTGCAAGCATTTGCAACAAGTCGCCAAGAAACTAATTAAAAGTCTAGATATAGAGAAAATGTTTTTCATTGAGTCCCCTTGAGAACATAGTGTCCAGAGTCTTAATACAATGATTGCCATTGCCAAAGGACTTTTCTTCTGATACCTACCCTCCCTCAAAGGAAAGTATATTATTCTTACTTACAGTCAGGTCCATAAATATTGGGACATTGACACAATTCTAATCTTTTTGGCTCTATACATCAACACAATGGATTTGAAATGAAACAAACAAGATGTGCTTTAACTGCAGACTTTCAGCTTTAATTTGAGGGTATTTACATCCAAATCAGGTGAACGGTGTAGGATAGTGATGTCCCGAACGGTTCACGAACGGTTCGCTGCGAACGGTTCGCCGTGGACTCCAGTCAGCAGACACATTCCAGCCAATCAGCAGCAGACCCTCCCTCCCAGACCCTCCCTCCTCCTGGACAGCATCCATTTTGAAGCTGCATTCTTAGTGAGCTGTCCAGGAGGTGGGAGGGTCTGGGAGGGAGGGTCTGCTGCTGATTGGCTGGAATGTGTCTGCTGACTGGAGTCCGCGGCGAACCGTTCGGGACATCACTAGTGTAGGAATTACAACAGTTTGTATATGTGCCTCCCACTTTTTAAGGGACCAAAAGTAATGGGACAGATTAACAGTCATAAATCAAACTTTCACTTTTTAATACATGGTTGCAAATCCTTTGCAGTCAATTACAGCCTGAAGTCTGGAACGCATAGACATCACCAGACGCTGGGTTTCATCCCTGGTGATGCTCTGCCTGGCCTCTACTGCAACTGTCTTCAGTTCCTGCTTGTTCTTGGGGCATTTTCCCTTCAGTTTTGTCTTCATCAAGTGAAATGCATGCTCAATCGGATTCAGGTCAGGTGATTGACTTGGCAATTGCATAACATTCCAGTTCTTTCCCTTAAAAAGCTCTTTGGTTGCTTTTGCAGTATGCTTTGGGTCATTGTCCATCTGCACTGTGAATAGCCGTCCAATGAGTTCTGAAGCATTTTGCTGAATATGAGCCGATAATATTGCCCAAAACACTTCAGAATTCATCCTGCTGCTTTTGTCAGCAGTCACAGCATCAATAAATACAAGAGAACCAGTTCCATTGGCAGCCATACATGCCCACGCCATGACACTACCACCACCATGCTTCACTGATGAGGTGGTATGCTTTGGATCATGAGCAGTTCCTTTCCTTCTCTATACTCTTCTCTTCCCATCACTCTGGTACAAGTTGATCTTGGTCTCATCTGTCCATAGGATGTTGTTGCAGAACTGAAGGCTTTTTTAGATGTTGTTTGGCAAGCTCTAATCTGGCCTTCCTGTTTTTGAGGCTCACCAATGGCTTATATCTTGTGGTGAACCCTCTGTATTGACTCTGGTGAAATCTTCTCTTGATTGTTGACTTTGACACACATACACCTACCTCCTGGAGAGTGTTCATGATCTGGCCAACTGTTGTGAAGGGTGTTTTCTTCACCAGGGAAAGAATTCTTCGGTCATCCACCACAGTTGTTTTCCGTGGTCTTTCGGGTCTTTTGGTGCTGCTGAGCTCACCGGTGCATTCTTTCTTTTTAAGGATGTTCCAAGCAGTTGATTTGGCCACACCTAATGTTTTTGCTATCTCTCTGATGGGTTTGTTTTGTTTTTTTCAGCCTAATGATGGCTTGCTTCACTGATAGTGACAGCTCTTCGGATCTCATATTGAGAGTTGACAGCAACAGATTCCAAATGCAAATAGCACACTTGAAATGAACTCTGGACCTTTTATCTGCTTCTTGTAAATGGAATAATGAGGGAATAACACACACCTGGCCATGGAACAGCTGAGCAGCCAATTGTCCCATTACTTTTGGTCCCTTGAAAAGTGGGAGGCACATATACATGTAATTCCTACACCGTTCACCGAATTTGGATATAAATACCCTCAAATTAAAGCTGAAAGTCTGCAGTTAAATGCAAGTTACTCCAAGCATCAAAAACCCAACAGCCTGCATTAGTGGTTACACTTGCCAGGCGTACACTGTTCCCTTTACAGGTCATAGGGCAAACCTTTAGTGGCTGAGAATTTCACAGCTTCCCCGTACAAGTCCTGAAAAAGAGTCTATTTTTTTTATTTTCCTTATTAGTATGTAAACTTTCCACCAGTATAGTGCCTAAATTAAAATCAATATTTAGCAGATAAAATTGCATTTTTTAGCAGTGCAGTCTTATTGCACAATGTAATATTAGATGCCTAATTTGTATCAGCTTATCCATTTTTGCATTTTTTTTTGTTTTGTTTCCAGTATATTGAACCAGAAAGCTGTTTTACAGTTGAGTATGAAAGTTAAACTAATCGCAAGTTTTCATGACACAGAGAAGTTTGAAAAATGTTATATTTTTTTGAGTAGCACAAGAAACAAGTCAGTCCTCTAGTGCATTGAAAAATATAACTTTATACCCGATCATATTTTTTTTTTAAATTCAACCCTACTGAAGCACTTGCTGCAGTGCCGAGATAAACTGCTTTATTGACATCACAATTAATCCTCTGAAGAATCACGAATACGTACACACACACCAGGATTTAAATTTATATATGTGTCTTTTATGATATGACTTTTGCTGCCCCTAGTTTATAGGGAATGTTATATTATAAGAGAGAGAGAGAGTGTGTGTGTGCGCGCGCGTGCGCGTGCGCTAGCCTTTTCTTGAAATTTTTTTTACAAAACCTACAGTTTTAAACATGCAGGGCACTATTTCCCCATAAGACAAAAATCAACCAAAAATCTTATAAAAACCTACTCCTTTTAGGAGACTAACTAAACTGAGGTATTTCCTTTGTAACAGCACTGGCCAGCTAAGCTGGATCACAGTCACAAAACAATAATTAAATAGCACAAACTTTTTCCCACCACTCAGGCTCCGTTTCCCACTCTCTTTGTATCTGTGATGAGCAGCCCAGTGAGAAAATCTCAGTAGACTAAATAGGGATGAACAGTGCTAATTAAGTAGCCGCTGAAGCTGCCCTTAACTAACTTGCCCCCATGGACCCTGTCAGTGCAACACTAGGGTGTGACGCAATCATAGTGGAGAGCCCATGGACCCGACAACGCATATGCATTACCATGGAGTAAATCAGACCAGCGCTGCACTTCAAACTTAAATTGCTGCAAGGACAAAAATCATCTCATGATCCTCAAGTTTTTGTCCCTGTTGGTGTGCATCCAGTACCATGGTCCATGATCAGGTTATAGTGCCTACCCAGCAAATAATATTTAAGAGTTTCAGTAGCCCACTTGATCACCAAGCACTCCTTCTCAATTATAGCTCCCAATGCAACAATTTGCTGATGCTCCTCTCCGTCTATGTACTGCGAAAGCACAGCACAGAAGCATCAGTCTGCAAGAAGAAGCCTTTCTTGAAGTCAGGTGCCAAAATTATAGATTGCTTACACAAAACAGAACAAAGATTTGCAAAAGACTTTCCGGCATTACTGTCCTACTGCACCTTGTCTTTAATGAGGGCCATAAGGGGAGAAGCTCCAGTCACAAAACGTGGTATAAACCGTCAGTTATAGCCAAGAATCCCCAGAAAGACTCTAACATACTTCTTTCTAAGTGGCCGAGGCCAATCCTGTATCTCTCCTACTTTGCTAATCTGGGATTTCACTAAAGCCCTCCCAACACCATAAACCAGATACTTGTCATCTGCCAAACCAATAAAACTTATAGGGATTAGCTGTTAGCCCAGCTTTATTAAAGGTGTCCAACATAGCCTCTACCTTCTGCAGATGCGAGTCCATGTCTGTGCTATGAATTATGACATCATTATGCATTATGTAACTGCATACTGGGCATGAGGTCTGAGCAACTTGTCCATCAGCAGCTGAAAAGTGGCTGGAGCTCCATGAAGACCAAGGCCATCAACCTATAGTGAAACAAGCCATCTGGAGTAGCAAAGGCAGTTTTCTCTTTGGCATGCTCTGTTAGGGGTATTTTCCAACATTCTTCAAATCCAGAGTAGAAAGAAATGTGGCCTTGATAATCGCTCTGTCAGCTCATGAAGAGGCAAAAGCAAAAGAGACGATATCTGCCTGGAAGAAGAGGGCTGCAGCCTGGTCAACTGGGAGAGTTCCTGAGAGACCCCAGTCAAGTTTCAGCAAAGTCCATAAAATGGCTAGGAAACGGACTGGGTGGGGGTCTTCAGACGGAGTGAGCTCCATCACACCCATCACCATCTGTCTTCTCCTGACTCACTGAGGACAGACCTTGAAATCTTTTTCTAAAGCAAGAGCCACCACTGCAATAATAGTTTTTACTCTTTCTCCTGTTGAAACTTCAACCATTGCATTGGGATAGTGCCCAGTACTCCTATGTACACACAGACCACCTACTGTTCTACCTTTCTGCAGATTAGATTGTCCACTAACTTTCCTGAAACAAGAGTTATGGCACTACCAGAGTCAACTAGTGCCACCGACAATTTGTATTCTGCAGGACTGAGATACAGAATTCACAAGTCCAGTTAGACAAATTAGTCCGCAAAAGTTCAGTGGATCTTTTCCTGGCCACTGCATCGGTTCCGGTGTATTCCGGCACCTTGCCTTGATGTGTCCTGATTCACCTCACTCAAAACATTTTATGGGAACCTTCCTAAGCTCACTCCATCTCACAGGAACCCTATCCTTATGGTTTAAGCCTTGCAGTTGCTCCCCAAATCCTGACTTGGTTGCAGCTTCATCTAAGCAAGTTGCAGATCCCTGGGACATTTGACTAGTCTCTCTTTTACGATAAGGTGTGCTCGCTGTGATAACTTTTGTAATCCTCCTTGGTGCTTTATCAAACCTTCTGGCAGCCACATATTGCTCCATGTAGGATACCATGTCATTATTGTGGGGTTCATTGACTGACCCATTCACGGAAAGTCTGGGGAAGTTCTCTCAAATACCAGTCAAGTACCAGAGCTTCCATGATCTGTGTCGGACTTTGGCTCTCTATTCAAGTATTTCAAACCCTGTTTGAAATGGTGCAAGAAAATAAATGCTATATACTTTTGAAAATGTTATCCTCCTCAATGTGGCTTTAAAGGATGAACAAATAAAAAATAAAATTGTATAAATGTACATAATTATTTTATTTATCCATGAACAGCAGCAAGTTCACAATACTGCAGTTTTATCCTTAACTGCTAGCTATGCATTTCATGTTTTTTTGTGTGTGTTGTTTTTTTAAGTAGGCACAGTATTTTTTTTAAATAATGTTTGGTAATGAAGGGGTTTTAGCAAATAGTGACTTGCCTGGAACATGCATATTACCCACCTGTTCACAGGTACTCTATGAGTGATGTAAACCTAACCCATCGACATGGCTAACCACAAGGCAGAATTTTCTTCCTAAAGTCACGTCCCCTGCAAAAATCTTACTTGAGTTCTGTTTGTGGCCCTGCTATAAAGACACGGAATGCTGTGGTGCTGTCCAATATGCTTTGCTCATCCAATGTCAATTGAAAGGCTGCAGGTACTACAGCTAACTTCTCACTACCAGCC